TTTAAATACGGTTAGATCAAATACATTTATGTTCAAGAAATGAAACAAGACGTCTGCACAGATTTTAAGAACTGAATTCCTGTTTCCATGACTACCTCACTTTGGGAGTAGATGAAGAAAACATCTGCCCCACTTCCACTACCCTCTGAAACCGATCCGTGCCGAGTTTGGACCGAGCTTATGACCATTAAAACATCAGGCCAGCTCGGTTCCATAGTGCTATCGGCGGTCGACCATACTACAGCCCTGAAGGCGGGAATTACGCAAAGGATATAGCGTCCTCAATGGATAGCGTCCTCCGCCCACATTTAAACGACAGCCTTGGTCTCTGCATCTTCCCAGGCTCCACCACGCTTTTTTAAGCTATTTATTGTTAACAGGCGGAGAAGTTTGTGTGGTGAACAGCTGCAGAGATCCGTGAATCACAAAGCCGAAAACGCTGAAAACCCGCGATATGAGTCAGCTGACTAAGCCACAGATGAACCGTGCTGAGCCCTACTACTGAACGATTACTAGTTCAGCACGGTTCAGTTGTTTCTGCCACTGTCCAGTTCAATTGGGTTCTATTTACACTCAACAGTTACCTGGGTTACCGTGCTTGAACCGTCCTTGGCACGGTTTCATAAAGGTAGTGTAAATGGGGCGTGTATTGATGAAATCAAATGAAATAAAGCTCCGACACTTCAATCAGGTTTCTTTATTGAGAATTGCTCAGCTTTTAGCATAACCTGTCACCTGACAACAAGCAACATACAACCTCAAAAAAAGAACAAAAAAAAAAAAACAGGTAGACCTCCTTTAAAAGCAAAATCTGTACAAAGAAACAAAACAAGTAGAGCAAATGGAAGCAGTGCAACGCGGCGCTTTAACCGACGTGTTGGGGAAGACGTGATGAAAAGCCGACAGTGAATGTGGACGGCAGCTCAGATTGAGTGATATTTCCTCATTTTTCTGGTTCTGAAGGCATCCTTTGATTGCCTGCTTCCAGCTGCCCGGCAGGAGCTGAAAGAGACGCCCTTATTTCCGCTGCTAAACAAAGCTGAATCTGTATGGAACCCAGACATGGATTCATAGAAATGAAGACTGATTGTTCTGTTATAGAAAGAGGAACGTCTGCCAGACCCAGAGGCAGCTGCTTCATGTCTGTTCGATCCACGATGGAGCGAGCCGATGCCGCCCAGCCACATTCCTGCATCATCTACCCGTTTCTGTGAAAGGACCTTTTTCTGGCATCGGCTGGAAGACCCCAAGAGTAAAAAGCAAAAATCAGAATGAGCAGAGATGTCCTGGAAGTAATGCAGAGCTTTAAAAAAAGGCACAGCGAAAGGCCCTGAGGTGAAACGGCGTTTCAAGCGTCAACCGACACGGATCCGCCAGGAGAGGAAGGATTGTTCAGAAGTAGGCGAGCCGAAGAACCGCCAGCTGAGTCCGACATGAAGGAAGGCATGCGGTGTTTGTGAAGATAAACCCTGAGCTCTGCGGGGCGTAGGCTGACCAACAAATGTAGGATTCTGGATAGTTCTCCAGACTGTCCCTGAACGCCGACCTGGACGAATGGGGATAAGTAACGTAACCCGTTCTGATAAGGCCGTCCCTTCAGTGAACGTGTCCTGCTGTCAAACTGGACCGATGCTGGGCTCATGTTGGTCTGTCCAGACTGGAACTCAGGAACCAAACTATGCTGAACTGTTCAGTTTGAACTCATGGTGCAGCGGCCAGAACCGAGACATTTACCTTCATCATCTTAATGCAGAGCTACTGAGACTGAACTTCTTCCTGATTGAATGCAGCCAAATGCGTGGGGTCATTCAAAGTGCTGTAACTCTAACGTGGGCTCCAGCGCCACGCCGTCCGCTACACCGGAGAAACAAACAATAGCAGCATAAGGAAAGGAAAATATTAAGAAAGATTAAAAACTGTCATCTCCCTTTTCATCACAGCGGAGGAAACTGAATCTCTCCCTGAAATAATGAAACCGGAGCAGCTGAGCTCCAGCAGAACATATGAAGGATGAAGCTGCAGCCCGACATGTTTGGCACTTGGTCTGCAGCCAGATCAGGAGCTCTGGTTCCTCCGTCATCGTCTCCGTTTTAACCTTTGATTTCAGCCTGACTGGAAACAAAACTGTGATTTTAAAAAAGCCTTTAAATTAACCAGGGAGATTTTTACTAGACATTTAGATTCACGGCTTTAAACGGTCACATCTGACCGTCATTCGCCAGGGACCATCATTCTGAGCCCCAAGCAAAGACGGCTTTAAACATGAAAAACAAAGTGTACAGTTTCACAAAACGTGGAATTTCTGAGCGAGACTTCCTTCTTCATTACATCACAACCTGTTTTATGCATCCGGCCCCTGATCTGATGGACGGTGGGGGCTAAATGGGGAAGTCACACCCAAGGACTTCAGACGATGGCATTGCTGCCTCGAAGGCCGACCCCGCGGGCAAACTGCTCCAGCAGGCCGGAGATGGCGCCGGAAGGGCTGGGGGCCGAAGACCTGAGACCCACCGTGGAGCTGTAGGCCGCTAGGAAGATCTCCCGGACCGCTTCCAGCCGAGCCTGCCGCTCCGAAGGGAGGGAGCACCTGGGGGGAGAGGGACAGACACCGGGGGTCAAAGAGAGAAAGAGCTCTGAGGGTCCAAAATTCTGTGTATGTTGGGGGGGGGGGTTACTGTACGCGGAGTAGCTATGCTAGCTTTGATTTCTGTTTTGGATAAATACAGTCTATCTGAGTTGAAGGCCGGCTGTTTTCAGTCAGTCTGTAGGAAGAAGAGGACAGAAGACGGTCCAGTTTTTAAACCACTCCCACCCCGACGCTGGAGTCTGTTCTCAGCCCGCCAACACCAGGACGTCCCAGCGGGGGTCTTCAGTGGTCTCAGAGATAAAGGACTGGGTTAGACGGCCACTAAAAATGCAGCTGGATGTTCCACAAGCCAGGATTCAGAGAGGCAGGTCTGACCGAGGTAGTGTAATGGTTACCATGGAAACCAGCGGTAAGACAAGCAAAGAGAGATTTCTCGACGGAAACGGACTGACGGTCTGAACCAGGGCATTCAGGCAGGATGGCCCTCAGCTGAGACATGAATTGACTAAATGTTTGTGCTTCAGGCAGGGATTAGATTATTTTGATTATTTTGATCAGACCGCAGAGAGGTGCTCTGGATATAAGTAGTTCCAGAAAGTTTAATATGGGCTAAAAACGGTGGGCTACTATCAGATAAATTCTGGCCATCTTCCTCTAGGCGTGGCTTAAATACGAATAATGATGCTGATTAAAAATGAAATTGAATCACACGGATCAGAGAACATAACATTGTCCTTTATCAATGAGACCCTGAAGGATGTAACACGGCAGCCAGAAACCAAATCGCATGTGGAGGACACCTGTTTGAAGATGCCAATTTGAGCATTCTGGAAGGGAAGAAGCCGACTGAAGGAGGAGGAGGCCTTCCAGCCACAATGACCTGAAGCAGCCACGGCTGCTGGAGTAATGCTAACCTTCCCCGGTTTGGTGCTGAATCAAAGCGGTTAAAGGTCTGATCAAAGCCGAGGCGTTCAGTAACGCCTCGGGTCGGGCTAAAGTCACACAGGTTTATTCCAAAACTGTTTCTACAGCGGTTGAACTTACGTCCGCCCACTGGGGCCCTCGTCCTGGAAACTGAAGGGCAGCGGGGAATCGAAGGCAGAGGTGACAGCAGAAGAGTTGGAGGAAAGCGAGGCCATCGGCTGAGAAAAGTGGCCGTGGTCGTGGATGCTGCCGCATCCGGAAACTATCTGCCAGCTTCCATAGTCTGTGGACAGGGAGGAAGCTGATCTGGAGCAGTCTGCTGCTAACCTGACACACAGAGGTAACAACCACAAAGGTTAGACACACACCTGCAGAAACCACACAGCTTAGCAGCCGCTCTGACGCTAATGCTAACCAGACCGTCCACAGACTGCCTGACTTTCTGCTTCCAGCAGTCGATCATGTGGGATAAAATTCAGCTCAGGGAACTGTTGGGAAATTTGATGTCTGTCTGATTTCTTCTTTTTCTGTTTTGAATAAATCTCAATAATGAAAATGAGCTTTTGCTCATGGTCTCAGTGGGTCATACAAGTAAAATCCAGAGGAGAGATTAGTTGGGCAGAGTTTGAATGAGGCTGGAGCAGCGCTGCGAACATCTGGACGTTACGATTTTAAGACCCATGCCTGAAGACTCGACTTTTTCCATTTTATATAAACCAGGTTTGAGTCCAACATTTTTACAGGAATGACCCAGATACCGATAATAGAGACGCTTTTCACCACATTCTGTTCTGAAACGCAAACACAGAAAATTGACATTTAGGAAGGAAAGGTAAGGAAAGTTAGGCTGACCCTAACCCTGCCCTAACCCCACCACCGGGGCTCAGTGGATGCGCGTTCACGAGTCTACGGAAACCGCGGCAGACCAAACCAGATGAAAGTGCGCATTCAGCTCGGCAAAGAACTCATG